TTGCTCAGGATATGTCGCGCGCTGGGAAGAAAGTATTCACGCGCCTTTCCGTCGTCCGCAAGGGGAACGGGGCGTCGCTCCATCTCACTCGTATCACTGTCACTCTCTCCTTCGGCGGGAACGGACGCCTGCTCAGCAGCATCATCATCATCGTAGAACGAAAACGGTTGGGAGTAGAATACTGGTTCTTCTGTGGCTTCTGGCGAGTCCGGACTCTCTGCCTCTTCCACAGCTTCTTTATCCTCGGACACATCAACCTCAGCCTCTCCATGGTCGATTTTCATATCCCTCTGTGATGCGCCGGTCGTGGATGGGGCTTCCCAGCGCCTCTCATTCCATCGTTCTCGAGCGATCCTCGTAGCGGTGGCAATCAGCCATTCTTCAAGGTTGGCACTAGGCCGCGAGTCGACTGCCATGCGATACCCGCCATCTCCCTCCATTCGGGGCAATAATTCTTCCCGGGGAACCTGATCAGGAGGCATAGGCCAGGCTGTCCAGGATCTGGCCAGTCCATTTCTCCCCCCAGTGTGCCGTGCCTGATTAGCCTCGTCCTCATCGTCCCTCGACGTCGCGGAGAGGACCGATGACGCTCTCTCCTTGCCCTTCTTACTGCGCTTTGATTCCCTCCCTCCCACTCCTTCTTGCCGCAGCTTGCGCTTCAGCCCGAAAGCGTCAAAGAGGTGAATACTGAGGTCCTGGCTGCGCACACGGTCCAAACTCAGAGCCACTGTCCTTTCCGCCTTCGTCCAAGAGTTCCACGTGGACGCGGGGCCGAAGTAGCGGTTCGATCGCGTGAAATATGTCTTGCCATCTTCCCCCTGTGCGAATTTGTCGTCTGCTGTCACATACGGGACGGTCCGCGGGGCTACCGGACCACGAGACTGAGATGTGTTGATGTCCGGCGCACCAGCAACTGTAGGTCGAGCAGGGAATGATGGAAAGACAGGGTCAGGCACTGGCACTTCGTCCTCGGCATCCTCTGTATAACCGGCATCTGAGTCCATTCTCGCGCAATTGCAGAGCGACTCATTTCAAAAAGTCCGAAGGCGAAGTTATCCCAAAAGTCGTTGTCCGCCGGCACGAAAGACGATCTCATTTGGAAATCTCGAGAGGGCGAAAAGCAGAAGTTTGAAGGCAACAAGAAAAAGCTTGATCTTGTGATCTTCTTTTCACACGAGCCAAACCATCACTCTACAGAGACGTCGTCGTTCTTTTGATCCGCCAGCTATTATTGCCGAGTTTTTTACGTCGAGGATTAAGAATGGAACATGTATCATTGTCACTTAACAACTCGACACGTCGGGAAGATCGACTTTCAAGGTGTCAAATTACGCGCAAAAAGAGTTGGTAGACCACTCTACACCGCCGTCTGTGTCCCAAAATATATTTTTTTGGTCTTTTGCCTGATCTAACCACAGCCTGCATATTCTCCAGCCCGTTTTATCTTCCCTAAACGCCGTGCCAGGGTATCTCAAGTCTAAGCACCATATCCTATGCAGTTTCCCATCCTAATCCCGCAAGAACATCTTATACGTGGCATTGTCCGTGCACTCCTTGAAAGGATATCCAATGTCCTTCAAAAAGTCCTCCAGCTGATCCCTCTCATTCTCAGGACACTGTATGCCTGCGAGGATCCTGCCCACATCACCACCATAGTTTCGATAATGGAAGAGTGTAATACTCTGGCCTGGTCGCAATGTCCTCAGGAACTTGAAGAGAGCTCCCGGTCGCTCTGGGAATTCAAACATGTAAACTCTTTCATCTTTGACGCCGGACCGCCCACCGACGAGATATCGCAGATGTGTCTTTGCAAGTTCGTCCTCAGAAAGATCTTTGGCTGTCATTCCTGCAGCTGCAAGCCGGGAAAAGAGTGAGTCGAGTTCTCGTGCCCTTGCGCCAGCTGAGGAAACCGTGATGCCCATCATGACATGTGCTTGGTCGGTGTATGAATACCTGTATCCAAATTCTGTAACGGCTTGTGGGAGGACGGCCTCAATGAGCTGCACAAATGAGCCCGGGCGTTCTGGAATACTAACAGACAGGAGAGCCTCTTTCTGTTCACCCAAGGTCGCACGTTCCGCGACAAATCTCAGTCGATCAAAATTCATGTTGGCGCCGCTGGCAACCGCAACCAATTCGCGGCTGGTATCTGTATCCGGATTCTGCGCGACCCATTTCTTCAAACCTGCTAGTGACAAAGCCCCTGCTGGCTCCAATACTGATCTCGTGTCTTCGAAGACATCCTTGATAGCAGCGCAAATCTCGTCCGTGCTGACCTCGATAACCTCGTCCACCACCTCTTGACAAAGTCTGAATGTCTCTTCCCCCACTGTCTTGACAGCGGCACCATCGGCGAAGAGGCCGACTTCTTTTAGTAGCACCCGCCGCCCAAGCTTGAGGGACTCGACCAGGGCATTGGCATCGGATGCCTCGACGCCAATAATCTTGACATGAGGGGCGATTCTCTTCACATACACCCCGATGCCAGCTATTAAACCCCCACCACCGACGCAGCAGAAGATAGCCTTGAGCTTTTGCAAGGACGTCTGTCTCAACAACTCCATACCTATCGTCCCTTGCCCTGCAATGACATATGGATCATCGAATGGTGGAATATTGGTCAACCCATACTGTTTCTCCAAGGCATGACAGTGGTCTTTGGCCGAGTCAAAGTCGGGTCCATGTAGCACCACGTTTCCACCCATGCGACTGACATTCATATGTTTGATGGCTGGCGTGCCCTGTGGCATCACAATGGTTGCAGGGATCTTCAAGTGTCTTGCAGAGTAAGCCACTCCCTGCGCATGGTTACCTGCTGAGCAAGCAATGACGCCTTTCCATGAGATCTTGGATGGCAGATGAGCCATTTTGTTGTATGCGCCTCGTAGCTTGAAGGAGAAGACGGGCAGTAGGTCTTCTCTTTTCAGGAGGACTTTGCATTCGAGACGGTTGGAGAGATTGATGGCATGGCTGAGAGGGCTTTCGCTGACAACATCGTAGACCCGGGACGTGAGGATCAACCGCAAGTAGTCTGGATAGCCCGAGGGTAGGAGGAAGTCTCGAGGTACGTCGTAGGTAGGAAGGTCAGCCCTTTCGGAGGGTGGTGTGGGCATGGCGGTGTACTCGGTCAGCGCGAGACTTGATCGCATCGGCGTCGAGGGAGTTGTCGTGCCGTTGACATGAGGATCGGCGGCGTCCATGGTGACGTCCAGCGATAGTAATGACTCTCAGGTACTTGGGGACAGGTCAATTTCTCTCGAAATTGTGTTGTAGGTGGCTGTCCGTGCTACAGATGAACAAAGTGTGTAGGATTTTCCTGTTGACTCAAAAAATTATCGGAGCTCATCCTCCCCGCATTCCGCCTGTCTCATGAGGGTTAGAGGACCTCACAAGCTCTCGATAGCTCCAACATCCCCCCATCGAGCAGGCGCCCTTTTACTTGTTAATACCTCTCCCTAACCTTCGTACTGTACGGGCACCCAACGGGTAGGCCAAGCCAGGATTAGTCGATTTGCAGCAAGATCCAGTCGTGGCCAATTCAGAGGAAAGGTCTGTGCTGTCTATCTGGACTCCTCTAATTCGAGCCCGCACGCGAGCATATTTCCGCGTTTTTTGCTAGCAGATCGACGTACGTCACGACTTCCACCTCTAGGTTTCTTTCGACTCGTCCTGCACAACACCGCATTCAACTCCTAACCATCTCCTCAAGGCTCATCCTGTCTTGTGGTGGAACAACCGGTCAGCGAAGACGGCGACACACCCGTTCGTCCACGCAGATTCTTGAGGGAAATACCTCACAACAATGTCCGACGACCCTTCCACATCGGCTGGGCCATCGCCCCTGACCGCCACCGCCATCCCATCCAGCTTTGATTCATCACCCGAATTCTTCGAAGAATCCCGCTTCCAAAAGCTATGGCGCAAATTACGTCAAGAACCTCTGATTCCGCTGGGCTGCGCCGCGACATGCTACGCCTTGTACATGGCGACCAAATCCATCCGCGCAGGTGACCATCATCAAACAAATCGCATGTTCCGCGCGAGAATCTACGCCCAGGGCTTCACGCTGCTGGCGTTGGTGGCGGGCAGTATCTTCTACAAGGATGAGAGGATGCGGAGGAAGGAGTTTGAGGCGAAGCTGGAGGAGAAGAAGACTGCAGAGAAGAGGGAGAAGTGGCTGGCTGAACTCGAGGCCAGAGACCAGGAGGACAAGGAGTGGAGGGAAAAGATAGAGAAGATGAGCCGAGACGCCAGAGAGATGAGCGAGGATATCAGGGAGAAAGCGGAAAAAGTGATTGAGGGCGGAAAGGAGGGGCTGCAGAAGGCTCAGGAAGGGTCGGCGCTCCCTGAAGCAGCCGGGTCAGGAGACAAGAAGAAGAGCAGTTGGGCCATCTGGAATAAGAGTGTGCTGGAGGAGGTCAATGGGGACGGCTGGGGTCCTGGTATGTGGGCGAAGAGAACGAGGGATGCCTGGAAAAGGTCCTGAGACATTTTGTCTCGAGCATTCTGTGAGGCGATTCTGGATCACGAGAGTTTACTATCGTCGCCACTCTTCTTTGGACTGGGTCCTGTAAAAATAAAAGTATATTGCTGGGGTATAACTATGCACAGGATCTCCACGTCGTGGTGCCCTTACAAGCTAGGCTTCCAGGCAATTCCCTTTGTGTAACAAGCAGTCAGTCTCGACTGGTGAGGATGGTTCAAAACTGCGGGTAGCTGCACCCAATCCTCGATTCCAGCGAGAGCCAGCTTGCGGCTTGTTCCTGCGCCTTGGTCGAAAGTTGCCAGACATGGCATCCTCGACTGCCATAACCTGGACATGTCGCCAAAGCGGCGACTCTCGAGACTTTGTCTGACCTCGATTCCAATAAATGCCACCACATACTCATCAACAGTTCAGAGTTCTTTCGGCCGTGGGTAGGTCACATCCCAAGTAGCCTTGTATAGCACGTTTGCTGGGAAACTTTCAATGGATACCAGGTCTTCCATCCGGCTCAGCCTCATCCTCGCGCCGGGCCCATTTCCTCCACGCCCCTCCTGACGCCGTCCCACTCAGCCTTGCCCGTACTGATCAGATACCTGATCCTCTCGATCTCTCGAACGTCTTTATTCCGCGTGAATTCGCCTTTCGCATACGCGATGCTCTCCCCTCTCTGGGGCTGGGACATGTGTCGGTACAGAGAGCGCAGGATGTCGCGGTAGAGCGAGAGAACACGTTGGCGCTGGATGAAGTGATCCAGAGATAGGGGTGGAGACTTCCGGAGACGCGACGACGGCGTAGAGGACTCTGCGATTGTCTTGCACAGGGGATTCGTGGGGTTGGTGACGGCGAGGCGGATGAAGTTTGGGCGCATGGGGGGACGCGATGAGGATCCAGGTCTTGGAGGCGCGTTAAGATTGTGCGCTGGAAAATGATCGAGAAGAGAAAGGGAATGAAAACCGCTGAGCTGCTCAGCAATGTGTTGTATAGAGGCACACGTCGAGACGTACTTGTAGAATCCTTTAGCAGCAAACATTTGGAGTCCTGCGGACAAATCGTGTTCCGCCAATAAGACCGCTCAAGGCTCCTAATGACGTCATTCTGAGGTGACCTCAGCCTTGTGCGTTCTGCTTTAATCAACAAGGTCAATAAGTCCCTAAGTATCTAATAGAGATAGTTGAAACAATACGGCTTGAATTTAGTTTGCTTTGGGAACCGTTGCTGTATCATGCCTCTTCAATCCTCATATTGCACGGTACTACCAAAATAGGTCGTCACCATAGCCTCTTTTCCCATGGCTGCGTCGAAAGGCCCCAACCCTCTCATAGCCTATTTCTTCTGCACCGATTACAAGCCTGGATTCGACATTGGTTGCATTCGAAGATATAGTTGGGTAGGCTGTGGAAGCACTCTTCGCAGTTGTGCGGCCCTTGAATGTATCGCCAGCTGGTATGTCTGCAGTTGTGCCTATCTCGTAGCATATTGGCTGCTTCACGCACAGCTCTCTCCAATCTTCCGGGATCGTCACGAGCCATATTGGGGCGGCCACGGTTGGCGAGAGTGTTTGCTCGTGCAAGTAATCTGCCCTCGTCCCATTGATCACAGCCGCATTGTTTCCATTGAGTACCACAGACGTAGCAGAATTGTGCACCACATCGACATCTAGATTGAATTAGTCATGAGAATCCAAGCAGGAGAAGGGAACGCTCACGTCATATGGTTGCAGCCTACATCGAGCTCGATCAGCCGATGACACGCATAGCATTGCTGCCATCCACTCTCAGTTGCAAGGCTAAGCGTGGCCTGCATTCCAGGATCTTCTGGACAATGACCGTCGTGGGCTCGCTTTTTGCAGAAGGTGCAGGTCCTTGTACCACACTTCCCGCAAGCTGCTATATCCCCCTCGATGTTGCTAGAAGTGACGAAGGCAGAGCATGTCTCCAGAGAACAATACGTCCTATCTCGAGTACCGAATTCGACTTTTGCGTGTTCAAATTGGTTTCTGAGTTCCTTTGTGAGGAAGATGTCGACCACGTTCATTTCGAAAGGCTCTTGACAGCAGCGGGGAGGAAACAACGATTCGTCCTTGGTGGCCCTACTGACAAGGTCCTGCAAACATGGTTTGCAATAGCCGTGGCCACAGGGTACCTCGATCACATCAAAGTACTTCTTGACCTCTAGGCAGATCACGCATCGGAGAGTGGAGGGGTCACGGAGTGCGTGCTCGCGAGCAGACCCGCTTATGGAGCTCTCGGCCTGACCATGGTCATCTGGTTCACGCCATTTGTCGGGTTCGGTATCTTTGAGCAGCTCATAGCCGACATCTTGGGACACGTAACGTCCCGCAAGTCTTGCAAGAATCTTCTTGCTGAGATCACTGGACTGCAAGTGGACTTCGGATGTGACGCAACTTCCATTCAGACGATGCGCATGAGCGTGGTCTTCGCAAGCGACTTCTTCCTCGCGAATAACGTCGGCAATAGCATCTGCGTCTGCTCGCACAGCAGCTGTGATGCTTTGTGTCATCTGTCGATCGAATAAAATCGAGCGCATGCTTTCGATATTCTCTTCAAACAAGGAGAGTGCCACTTGAGCATCGTTGAGCTCGCCATCCCGATTCTTGTCTTTGGAATTAGTACGAAGTTCTTCGACGTCTTGGAGCTGCAGCTTGAGAATGAGATCAGCTGTCTCCAGGTCCAGGTCGTCAAAATGAGCAGTGCATTCATCCATTTTTGCTAGAGATCACCGAACTTGGCCAGAGCAAGAAGGAGGATTAGGAGGGCAAGGAACAAGAATGGTAGATGAGCCCGAGCATCTGTAAACCCCTTTTGGTAGGCATCTCTGTCGTTCAATGGGATCCGTACGGAATGTAGCGTTTTGTTCCACGGCGGACTGCATATAGTCAAGCTCTGAAACACTACACCGCGTTCCTTTCAGGACCCATCTAGGTCACATCGATAACAAGAAACTATGTGGCGTCATCCTCAGTGTTAAACCCGGGACCGAAATGCGACTGTGAGCGTTTGCAAGTCGTAGACAGCATTTTGGCTTCGTAGAAATGATCTTGAATCGTTTCATGCTGGGAACCAGGCGTCGACCCCCCAACTGATAGCTTGTTTCGAATTAATTGACTTACATCTCTCCCTTGGACTCAGATTTCACTCTGCAGTCTCCCGAATAGTGGTAGGTTGGTTGCTTCAGTAGTAAGGAGTCCCATGGCTGGAGTATAGGGGTCGGTCAGAAGATCCTGTCAGAGTGGAGGGTATTTCGATGATGATATTTTAGCAAAGTAGGAGAGTTCAACTAGGATGACCATGGCCATAACTTGAAAGCAGGTATCCTCCGGCTCACGAAGTTGAATCGCAGCACTGCAACACTGAACTGAATCTTGACATTGAGCCGTCATAGTCCAGACACCATCCTTCCACAAGTAATTGTCCAGAAGCCACGAGAGTAGAGGGGGGTAGCACACAGCTTTGACACCATGTGTTCAAGTGTCGTGTGAAAAAAGTGATAAGGATCTTCCAAGGTGGAATGATCACACACTGGTACCATTTTCAAGCTGGGAATTTCCAGCAAGGGTGATGTTCCAGAACTAATGGGAACTCGCTCACCGCGTTTTGATTCAAAACCAGCCAAATAGATCCACATTCACGCATCCTTTGCGTTCAGTACCAAAGCTCCTCGTCAATGTGACTTGGTCGAATTTCCAGGGGCGAGGCTGAGGAAGCGGCTTTCGCGGATAACCACAGGGCGAATCATGGAGCATGTTTGCTAGGGATTATTGCTATTCGCGCAAGCGTCTTTTTACAGCCTTTCGGCGCCGTAAAACTAATATCCAGGCCTAGATGAAGAAGAGCGGGGCGCTGCTGGCCAGTATTACTATTCTTTCTAACCACAATCGCCAGGGCTCGAACAAAGAATGGCGCAAGTGCTGTGCTTAACCCGGTGATTGAGTCGCATACAAGAACTTTAAGAGGGTCCAGCGCACGCAGGTAGCGGCAACTTGGGAAATCCGGGGTGATTGGTGGGTTCTCGGGGACTGGGGGAATCGCGTGGACGCTTTTCTGGTTGCTTCTGCTCGGAGGTGTTTTTTCTTTTGCCGTACCGAGTACAGATAGAGTTTTTTTCGTTGCAGCAGCGTGACCAGCTGAAAGGGGATGGAATGATAGGAAGAGAGTCAGGAGAGGCGGTGGGCGCAGGCAGATACGAGGACAAGAAACTCGGTAGAGTGGATAAGTGGGTGAGAGGGCAAGGAGGGGCACGCCGGGCGTGGTCGGGGCCAGGACTCGCTTCAGGGTCAAATGACGCAACAAATTGCCGGGAGGTTGGTTTAGGGAGTCACTGGAGTTTTAGGGGCAATCAAGGAGTGTGGCCTCCCACCCTGAAGATCCCCCTTCCAAGCCCTTCCCTAGGCAGGCAGTAGGCAGGTAGGTACCAACCAGTCACCATCAGTCACGGCTCTTAGGCCGCAAGAAACCTGCGAGCACCAACTCCGACACTCCAGAAGGAATAAATGTCTACTCTCACATGCTCCAGCTGAACCACCTGCCACCCTGCTTCATCTCGTGCGACTTTCCCATCCTCCAAAATCACCCAGCTGCCATCGAACAAAGTCCCGCGCCCCTTGTACCTCAGTGGGTCATTGGGCTGCAATATGATCTCAACCCTCGAAGCGGTCTCGGCTCTGTCCTGCTGATTTCCCTCGAGGCAATTCTTCATATACAAGTACTCGTACCCTTGCCGTGTTGACTTCTCATCCTCTTCTCACCTCGAATCCACCAATCCACCATGTCTTCCCACGATGACTATGCTCCACGTCCACGCCGAGACCGTACCCGATACGACACCGACGGCGGTCTTCGCTACCCAGATGACGATGACTATGGCGACCCTCGAAAGTCGGCACCCCGCCACCCTCACCATGAACCATCCCCTGCGCCCCTCGATCCTCGTGACGGACCACGACGCAAGAGAGATGCTGATCCTCGAGACATTGAGCCGAAATCCGGTCGTGATGTGAAAGACGACCCACCCCGATATCGCGAGGATGGCGATCCCAAATCAGGCAAATCCAATACTGCTGCACCGAGGAGAAGACGTAGCTTTTCCAATGATGACGAAGCAGCTCGCCGTGACCCACGAAATGGCAACGGCACTGGGGTGGCCTATGGCCGCTCCAAAGGATACCGAGAACCTATTCCGGAACCAGAGGTCGTTGCTGCTCGGTCAGCCAGACGCAGAGATTATGACGATGACTTTGAACCACCTCCACCTCGTCGCGCCCACACACAGAGAGAGCTGGATCGTCGCCGTCGAGACGATCCTCCTTACGATGACGAGCCACCTCGGCCTCGTCGTCACCGCAGTCCCGAAGACAGACACTCCGACCGCGAGCGGGGATATAGATCTGATCCTCGGGACGCCCCAAAACACCGAAGAGATGATGATCGCTATGACGACCGCAGACACCGCAGCGGTGGTGGTTCACGTCGCGACGATGGCTATGCGTCAGATCGAGGCCGCTCTGATCGAGACAGAATGAGAGACCGCGATCGTGAGCGAGATCGAGATCGAGACCGTGATCGCGACCGTGACCGGGATCGCAGGCGCCATGACTCTGACCGCGACAGAGACCGTCACCGAGACCGAGACCGAGACCGGGATCGGGACAGAGACAGAGATCACCACGATAGTCGAGACCGTGACCACGACCGAAAGGACAAGAAAAAGGGGTTCTCACTCGACAACATTAACGATCTAGTCGAACAAGGCCAGAAACACTACAAGACTCTGGCGCCAGTGATCACCAGCCTGACGAAGATGTACATGGACAACAAGAAATGATTGAAAACTCTGGTGTGCTTACGATGGCGATTGAGCCCGCGAGTATGGGGTGCATGGGCAGAGAACGAGTCAATGAGTGATCTGAAGGAAATGTAGGTGATGAGAGGTCAAAGCCACACTGCTGGAGGAAGCAGCAGGGCTGGCTCCCTCCCGTCTTGGATGATGCTGAAACAGCGTTGCGTGATTATGAAGGGAAGGGGTAACTTACACGACGGTGACAGCCGGGCTGGCCATTTTCCCTGCTCCAGGAATTGAGATGTACCACTAGGACTATTTGGCAGTACTTTGGGATGATGGGCGGGCAATTTCGGAATGACCAACATCATTTGCAAGGTCACGGGGTGGGCGGTCGATTTGGATTCTGTCATGGTTTGAACAGCAATCAGCTCAATAGCAATATAAATACCAACATCGCTCCATTAGTGAGCCTTGTTTCAAACAAGTTCCTTAAAACTACTCGCTAATTATCTAGCTGACTGACTGACTGACTGACTGAATGGCTGGTTCACTAACTGGCTGACTGGCTGACTGAGTGACTAGGACTAGAATCTCGATTGCTCTCCCCTCCTCTCCCCCTATCTTTACACACACCTATGAAGGGCACACTTGTAACGACGAACCCCACGGCATCCGCTCCTGACACCGCCGATCCTCCACAGCGCCAGAGGGTGGAGCCTCGGCCTGGGCACCTCCTTCTTGTCGGACGAGGCTGGACCAATTACCTAGGTTCGCAATGTATACCGAGTACCTGGATCGCAACCGCCTCAGGGGCTTTAGCGCTCTAGGCCTTGACGACGTGGAAGCCCGTGAAGTTGGGCAACACGGCGCGGATCTCTTTGACGTATTCTGGGATGCCGCCCGCATAGTTGACCTGTTCGAATGCTTTTCCTGGAACACTGCCGCCCATGTCTAGCAAGAAGAACGAAAGATTACCAAGTCAGCCATGTCTGTGTGCCTAGAAAGAATGAAGAGAGAGAGGGAGGGAGGGAGGGAACTCCAGGCAGTTGGAGATTTTGGGGAATAATGCGGGAAGAAAGGAAACTCACATGTGCTCCTTGTGGTTGGTAGCAAGGTTATGTTACTCAGGTCGTTGATGTGATCCTTCCACTTCTGGCTCGCTTCTTGGGTTGCGTTGATGTATTTAATGCCCTGGTGATCAATGTCTCTTATAGCGTCGCGGATCCAGCGGCCTTGGACTTCCACGGCTGAGGGGCCGTTGGCGAGGAGGGTCGGCCCGTGAGGACCTGTTACACAAAGGGACATTAGTTCATTGGTAGATCGCTGTGTTGAGACTGTTGACTCACCGTAGAGATGGAACATGTTCGGGTATCCCGAGATCGTGGTTCCCAAATACGTGTAGGCTGCCTCCTTCCATTCATCGTGCAAGGTGGTGCCGTTGATGGACTTCAATCCCATATTTGTCATTCCACCCGTGGTGATATCAAAGCCCGTCGCCAGGGCAATGATGTCGAATTCGTGGACTTTGCCGTCGCTGGTCTTGATACCGGTCTCGGTAAACTCTTGAATCTTGACACCGGACTTTTCCGAGATGTCTACAATATTCACATTGTCGCTGTCCAGGACTTCGTAGTAATTCTGTTCGAGACATGGTCGCTTGACGCCGAAGGGATGCGGAGGCTCGACAGGGCAGAGTAGAGCACGCTTCTCGGGGTTCTTGATGCGCTTCTCCTGCTTCTTGCGCCAGAAGTCGTAGACGCAGCGGTTTGCCTTCATGTCGAAGAGGAAGTCTTTGTGGGAACCCAGCCAGAGGCCGAAGCCCGCCTTCTTCCACAGGCGTTCGTAGACGGCTTCACGCTCCTCAGGGGTGTCTTCAAAGGTGTTACGCTCCTCGAACTCATAGGTGAAACCCGCAAAGTGCTTCT